TTCAGGCTTAAATGAACAACTTCCAGTTTAAATCCCTCCCATTTTGAGTATGGATACAGATAGAGATAATGGTGTACTCACTCATCCCTAGTGGGGAGGCCTTCATTTACTGTAAACCTTAACAGTATTTTAAACATTAACTAGGGAGTTGAAATACAGATACTGGAATATTAGCTACAAACACACAACACCAAGGCAAACATTTTTCATGACTTTATTAAATGTACCTGTGAATAGCACCCCCTTCTTCTACATGCGCTATAATGATGCCGTGAGGAGAGCGCTTGGAGCCACGCCCCCCTGTTATCTGTAGGCCTAGGCCCTCCTGACCCTTCACCATATGCATCTTCCAGATGTGGTTGCCCTCTCTGTGCTACAAATGAGCAAAAACAAACATACATCAAACAAAACATTACGCAGTTGATTCAAATATAATACTATGGTGATATGATATGACCATGAAGCTGAAAAAAAGGGTTAGGGTTAGCTAACAAATCAACAATCTGACCATAACTGATTTATTCAAAATTTGGCAGATTTGTTAGCAAATATGAATGCAGGATCAAACAGCGCCAAGAGTCATATATAGACACATCTTAAATTAGCAAATGTTAGCAAAAGGTTAGGTAACTTTCTGTATATAACTTATATATGTATCTTTTAACCATCTTCCAGATTTGGTTGTCTTTTAATATAGACGCACAAACCTAGGGAGGTCTGGGAGCATGCTCCCTCTGGGTAATTTCTTTTCCCCCCATTTACAGCAGCTAAATGCACTATTTTTTCAAGCCAGTGGGCATAATAAACAAGAATGCCTAAAAATTATTTTGGATTCGTTTTTATATCTAATTGTTCTCTATGTCTAATGTCTTTATTTATGAAACCATAAAAATAATAAATGTTGAGGGTGACTAATTTCAACTCTTGCCACCAAAAAAAAAAATTCAGAAAAATATGGTTGGAATTTGGCCTAAAAAGCATTACTAATTCCATTCAAGCGATAAGCATACATTATCAGGCATTAAGGGCAATAATTTCAGCTAAAAAATCCACTATATCGCCTGCCATGTGGATAATTTGCAAATTTTTCCCCCTACAATTGGTATCAGTCTAAAAAACCCATAACAGTCAGGCTGGAGTCCCAGAAGCACCTGCTCTGTCTCTGATTGGCTCACCCTGACACTCACTGAAAGCAATGAGCACTAGCCAATCAGAGGCAGAGTAGGGCGGCGCATGACTTTGCCACCCTGGTAAAAAAAAAAAAAAGGCATACAGGAAAGGAGAAAGTTCACTGAGGTTAAGACTAAGGCTTGCTCAACTGTTATTGGAGCACAGAGCAAAAGGGGGCATAGGAAGGGTCAATTGGAAGCTGCTAAGTGTGAAATCTATTCAATCTCTAAATAAAGCCTCAGATTTTGCCTTCAATGCTCACAGAAGTATCAGCTGAAGTGGGGACAGAACTTTTATTCTTCTAAAGATGCCTGTATCAGTTTATTGCTACTGAGCCTTGATTGACTCTGTTTTTTGTCTGCTCAGTGAAATACATGTGACAATGTGTTGTTGTACATGTATGTACAGACATTTATGGTCCATTTATGAATGAATCCCACTGACTTTGGTGATCCCATGTCTGGATTTCATGTTGTTTTTTTAGTGAAATATCTTGACTTGCAATGAAATCTGATACATATATTCATGACTTTTCCTGTAGCATCACCAGTGGCCTAAGGATTTCACTAATTGTGTGAAACATCTACAAGATGGAATTGGAACATTGGGGCAATTGGGAATTTGGACCCCCTGTCAATAGCGCCACCACCAGGTTAACATTTGTGGTTTAGAGTGAAATG